TAAAGATCGACCTAGAACTCCCTCCCAGGGGGATGAATAACAGAAAGGTGGGTGAGGGGTGACGGAGGATGATCTAAGATATGGAAAAAATAATCTATAGCTTATCAAGGATTTGTGAGGGAGGATGGGCAGGGAGGGAAGGGGAAGAAATGGGGAGCTGATATTAGGACCTCAAGTGGGAGGAGATTGCTTTGAAAATGATGATGGCAGCATATGTGTAAATGTGCTTGATACATTGGTGGAATGTGTGGACTGTGATAAGAGATGTAACAGCCCCCAATAAAAGTTTTTTTTTTTTAAGAATTAAGATAAAATAGATAAGGATTGAATTTGACTCTTTAAAAATGAGCTTAGGATTTGGCTATACAGGTTTATATTGTTTTCTTCTATTGTTATTGATGTAATATGTCATGGAAATGATTATTGGAAAGTAAAAATAGAGTGTTCGTAAGCTTACTTGCCTTCAACCATTAAAATTGGATCATTACATAGGTGTAGGATACCCCTACAAAAGAAGGCTCTGAAAAGATAAGCCCCACCCCATGTCTTGAGTGTGAAGGGCATTTGAACTTGAAGAGACTTGCCTAGGGGGCTGTTGATAGACTGGGGAAAAACAAAAAAAGGAACCCTTTAGCTTTTAAATTTTGAATTAGTGATTTGTGCCTTAAGGTGGAAAAAATTGGAGCCATGAAGGAACTCTCTCTAGGACTGAATGTTAAAGGGAGCCTGTAAGCAGCCTGAAATGCTTGCTAGGCGACCACCTGCATCCACTTGTTGAGTGAAAGTGGAAGAAAATAGCAATACAGAGATGAGTTGAGTCCAGGCACTGACACCTGTGGACCTTGTTCACAGAAACTAGAGGAGAAAATGAGAGCGTGGATTGACTGGGTTGAAGTTTATGACCTAGCACAAGGGGACTAGGGTCATTGAGAATTTGTGACAGGGTCCATGGTCTAAAGGCAAGGCAACCAATGGACACCCTGTGGTGAGGCTAAGCAGTGCAGCCCATATTGAGTTGACCAGAATCTGACCAGACGAAGGGAAGATTTTTGAGCCTGTGAATTGGTGCATACTGCTGCTGACTTTATAGACAGTATGTCCTGACTTGAGCTTGCTTATGGATGTGGACTCACAAGGTTCCAACTGGAATGAAGATTCTTCACATCAAGGAACATGCTTTTCTCCTCAGAGCACTGGGTGGATATAAGTGGGCAGTATAGAAAGTGGGTACCCAAAATGGGAAGGATAAAGGCATGAAGTGGCTGGCTTACAAACTTATAGACGGGGCAATATGTTCATAGGATATAGGATTATGGTATAGGTGTTCACGTAACTGCAATTGTTAGCTATAGAATATTGTTCACTTATAGAATATTATGTTTAAAGACTGTGACTGTTTACAGGAGTAGAAAGTCCATGGAGCTGCTGGTGGTGGTAGTCTCAAACTGCCAACCTTGAGGTTTTCAGCCCAGCAAATAACCACCAAATGAAGGCTGAGCATGATAGTGGGGAGAAAAGGAAAGTAAAAGGAAATATAGGAGAGAGCTAGGAGGCAAAGGGCATTTATAGAGGTCTAAATAAAGGCATGTACATATTTAAATATATTTATATATGAGGATGGGAAAATAGATCTATGTACATATATGTATAGTTTTAGTATTAAGGTAGCAGATGGACATTGGCCTCCACTCAAGTACTCCCTCAATGCAAGAACACTTTGTTCTAATAAACTGGCATTCCATGATGCTCACCTTCCCGACAAAGCCGGTGCATAAGCAAATGTGGTGAAGAAAGTTGATGGTGCCCGGCTATCAAAAGATATAGCAGCTAGGGCCTTAAAGAGTTAAGGTAAACAAGTGGCCATGTAGCTCAGAAGCAACAAAGCCCACATGGAAGAAGCACTGTGATCATGAGGTGTCTAAGGAACCAGGTATCAGGCATCAAAGAACAAAAAAATCAAATCATTGTGAATGAGGGGAAGTGCAGATTGGGGACCCAAGACCAATCTGTAGGCAACTGGACATCCCCTTATGAAATAGTTTATTGTGCCAGCCTGGCCGATAAACACAAGTGGGATTAACTGAAGGGCAGAGAGATAAATGCCTTGGTGAGTCTCGCCTTTCTTGTCTCTCACTCTTTGATCATCGGACCAGTGTGCGGCTGCCTTGCTTGTTCTGTGCCTCAATTTA